CCTCGTCCCGTTCGGCTCTACTCGAGTCCAATATAACGAGGTAAAAAAGGAACATTGACAATAATGAGTCTGGAGCACTATTATTTCGTACGTGAAGATTATTGCACTTATCGTAACGAAATCTTCGTGTTAAATTGCTCCGAGTTATTTTAGTCAAGTTGTAATTGGATTTCGCAGAAGCGCCGCGACGTCGGCGGCGGCGGCGGTGTGCGCGGCGCGGAAATTTATTTTCAAAGAATCAACTCGGCGATATTTTGCGGTTTTAGCTTCCCATCTGATAAAATTCTTCCGAGTGACTTAACTTCAGCAATAACAAACTTTGCTCTGCCTGCGCACAAATTATAATATTTTGACGAAATAAAAGCGAATTAAAAGTTTCGCGAGGCAGACACCGGCTAATTACACGACCAACACACGCGCCACCAAGTGCAGCGGTTTTGTTTTTTACATCGGAGCGTTGTTTTGACGGCAGACGTGGGAGAGAGTGGAAATTACTTCTGTCTGCATGTCGAGGTCGTTCCCTGTGAAGTTAGTAATGCTGCCAACCGAGTGAACGAAAGCGATTTTCGTAGACCGATGTTAAACACTCGGTATGTCGTATTTTTGCGGCAGATAGACTAACGGCTTGGAAAAAAATGGCACAAAACGCCGGTTATTGATTTTTCACCTTAATTTCGTGGGAGGAAGACTGCGGCTTGCTGTCTCGCCTCTAATTTGGTTGTTCAAGGAGACGTTCCGTATCCAGTTATCTCTCCGTAATTATTGTTTTAACGTTTTCCCGTCAACTTTTCGCAACGAACGCGACATAAAAGGAGAAGCTGTCACCGAAAAAGCTTTATCCGGACATCAGGTGGCGTCCGTGACAACTTCCAAGACTTGCGGTAAAAGCATCGTTACTAAATAATGAGCAGCTAACTCTGTTATTTACATTTCCTTAATGTAGGTGATCCTGTAAATTTTTACGCTCGCGCTTTATCTCGGCAGACATTATTTAAACGGCGCGGAGCGTTATTTCGCCGGGCTTCGTGACTCGGAAGGAGGTCGCGATCTTTGACCCGAAAACCCTTCTTCGTCGGAGGGACGGGGATGTTGAGTTTTGGGTCCCCGCGCTACATAAAATAACAATAAAACGAAATGACAGCTGATAAAACTGCGATACTTGCCGTTGGTCGTGTCGCTAAACGCGAACGCAATTAATATTTCATTGAAGTCAATAACTCGAAAGAATCGGCTGCGAAGAAGTTTTTCGGGTAGTGATTGGCTCGTTTCACGGGATGGAAAACGTGCTCGGCCGACCTTTCAATGGAAATAATCTACGATGAATTTTAAGTGCAACGTGAAGTTTTCCCGAGTTTTCAGGGGAAAGTTCGGGCTGCAGTTGGCGTCGTGCGAGTTGTTTTGGTATTGCCGGAGAAGTTTACAAGTTGAAGATGATTTGCGTGCGGGAAAGGGAATTCCAGTCTTAGGAACCGTAAAAGATGCGATCCTCTATACATGTGACACAACAAGTGATGACTCCGTAGCTTTTATGTTTAACGGAAATAATTTCGCTCGCATCACATCCTCCCGAGTCCTGTATCGTACCATTGTAGTTTTGTCATGTCCATTTTGGATTTAATTGTGAGCCACTCGTACCAACAGCGTTACACAAATACAGTGCTGTATGGTACGTACATGCCATATACGTGGATAGTCTTTCAGCTGTATGCACTCAAGCGACAATAATATGAATACGCTCCAAAGCTGCTCCGAGTTCTTTTAAAAGTTATTTTTATCATGTTGTGCGTAAATTCTGACAGAAATGCTTGATCGATACTTTCTGCGTTAAGTACTACAGCGTCCAATTAAATATACAATTCCAAGGTCTCTTTATCGATACGGGATATATCGACAAGCTGCACGATGAGGGTGTAATTCGAGTCAACCCGGGTCGTTTTAATATTCATTGTTTTTAGCACGTCAGTGGAATATTTTATTTAATGGAAATGGGTTTTCACTTCTCGAACTTTCGAAATTCGAGAGTAAAAATTCAAACGGACAGTAATTAAATTTGTATTTTCAGGCTTCAGAAGTGTAAAATGTAATATAGTAAAATGTATTGCAACTTTTTTCGACTGTTGAAAGTTGGAGTCCGCTTCAGTTTTATACATATTTCATACATTTGCACAGACGGCTCACAGACTTGTGAATACTGTAAATGCTTAAAACTTGAGTGGGAGTTTTTCACTGTGGAGCCTATGGTTGCTTTTGTGTAACACATTCGCCTTTATGCACACAACTCTTTCGACGACTAAATGTTGTAAATCTTCAGGTAAAATGTAAAACCTTATTTTTAGTCTTGTTAGTTTCACGAGAATCTGCGGGATATAAAATGTACCGACCCCGCTTCATTGGCGTGGAACGACTCTATTTGACGTTGTTAAGGGTCAGCAAAGTGTCAGGTCAAGATAATTTTTTGCAACTAACCTGCGACATTCAAATCTTTCCTAAACAGAAGACGACGGAAACAAGGATGCAACAAATAGGTCTTTTTTGACGATTCTAAATTATTCCAAAAATCTTAAGCCGGAAGACGGAATTAACAAGTCGTTGTGGTCAGCAACTTGGGAACGGTTACACCGTTGAACTCGTTCACGCTATCCAATTTGTCATCAAATTTGGTTTTTACCGCATGTCGGTATATCCAGGGAGATGTTGTTTGTAAAACAAAATCTGTATGTTGACGTTCGCGTATGCAACCCTTCTATGCCATCTATCGATTAGCAACAGAGTCGCTAACAGGTGGTACCGCCGTTACGTTTACAATCACATTATTGCCGTGTTTATTATTAATCATTTCGCTGAGTTTTATGTGTTTATAGATGGCCGAGCACTCACCATTATTAAACTTCTCCTACGCTTTAACGCGTTTTGAGAAAGAAACCGGAATTAGGGTGGCGTTTGTCTCTTTCTTTCGCTTCTTTTTTTTTTCAAATTTAAAAACCGAATGCTACACGAATCAATTAAGTCGAGTTGCGTCCCTCCTGATTAAATTAGATTTGTCCCAGTGATACAACGTTTCCGGCTTAAAATTTTCATGAGAGAATAATGAAAGAAACGTGGATAATTTAATATTTGCTTTAATTTGAATACAATCTTTAATTTATAGCCCCGGATTAAAAAGCAATTTTAATATAAAGCGGTTAATTATTTTGTCCGCCAACTGGCCGCCAACTTCGTAACTTCTTGTATAAATCCACAATATCGTTCTTGTTCCTTTACTTATTGCCGTCGAAATTTTTTCCGGCGTTAAAGTTTTTTCATTATTTCCCACTCGAGTTGCAAATGCGGTTCGGGTATTAATTTTCGCTACATGTAAAGTCGGGAAATAATCACGTCTAAAATTACTCCGTCAAGTCTTCGAGAGTCGATTTTTCCGTCTCTGCGACTACTTTTATAAATTGCTCCAACTAACGACTATAAAAGGAGATGTGACACGAACATGTGTCGAGCAGCTCAACGGGGCTGTTAAAACAATTCTAATCTTTTAAAACAATACCCCGCCTAGGAGGAAAAAGGCTCTCGACTCTGTTAAGAGCTAATAATAATACACAATGTTCTTGATGTTTATGTTACGTGGAAAACGTAGATCCCGTTCGCGAGTTAAGTAATTAGAATTTTTCTTCATAATTTTCTCGGTTATTGTTTGTGCGTCATTCGAGTCTGTGGAAATTGCTCGCTTTTCTTTGGGCTTTACGCCTCGTAAATGTTTAAGGATCACCGAGAGCACAAAGCGATTATTCGTCTCTTTAAATTTTTAACTCGTGTCTCTCCGCGAATGTGTACACATGACCCCCTTGCAATTTTAAAGCAAACAAGGCTGGCGTCTCAGTCGCTGGTCGTTTCGCATTATGTAAGCCGCAATGATGGTCTGCTCGAGAATGCGGACTCCCAGGACGCGTCTTTATCTTCATACAACGACGCCGGCCGATGCATATCTGCGCTATCGGTTTAGCTTACAGACGACATTTAGTGGTCCTAAAGTACGGCTCAGGCATAAGCCGGCCTCGGGACTTGCATGGCGCTGCTTACGGGATTCTTGGGGGATTTTCGGGGGCGTTAGGTTCTATGGGTAGTGTCGATTTGGATTTTTCGGCGTGTAAATGTTCATTTGGGGCTGGGAGACAATTTGGGAAGTCTGAGACCGATGTGCGTTGCGCCAACCATTCGTATCCCGTTTTAACAGAACTTGGACTATGTACTTTTGAGTGCATATTAAGAGTTTGTGGTCTCTTGTTGTCCGATAGGTTTTTTCGACCAACGACCCCTTTTTTTCGCAGCACCGGTTCTCCGTTCGGGCGAAGGGTAACAGAAGAGCAACAATTTCTGTTATTCGTTGTTCAGAAATTGTTGTGATCGTTGCCCCCCAATGCATCTCATCTCGTAATCCCAGTCCGCGTATCTCCCGCCGAAAGAAATGCCGCAGTTCGCTGTCGGCTTCGAACTTTTAATAAAGCTAAATTATCCTAGCGAGTGGAGAAACTCGTTATAAATTAAATTTAATTAAAAGTAACCGAACATTTAACTACTTTAAATAATAAAATCGCTCTTAATCATATCCCGTTGTAGAATGTTCCGCTGCCTTAGCTGCGGCAAAGCAGCCACTCTTCCGCCTCTACCACCTCATTATTTTTATTCGTAACACGCTCCCTCACTCAAAATGACTGCCTACCTTTCGCACATTCAAAGAGGACAGCCATCCTCCTCCCGGAAGAAATTTCCACTTTCCGGCTGGTCCTAAATGTTGTTATATGTTTTCCGCCGGTACATTTTCAACATGTTTGGGAATGCTGCTTTGTAACATTACACCGCGAATAACCGTACACGTGAGGCAATGAGCGCCGAACGTGCCAAAGCTTACGCCGGGCTTTTTTAAATAAGAGTAAACGGATTCCGAACGGATACAGGCGGATCGTTCTTTATATAGCATCAATTGATTTGCGTCTTTTCTTGTTTTCCAGATCAGCAGCACGGGCTTCGGTTGTCGGGTCAGCGACGTCACCGGTAAGTATGATTCGGGACCACTACCAACACCACCACCACGGATGGATCACAACCACATGAGAGTGTCGACGACATATCCGAACCATCACATGCGGAGTTGAATCCGCGTCGACCTTTTTCTTTTTAAACAAAAACTGTAAACCTCCGAATGAAATTATATTTTATGGCGGCGGCGTGTTGTTGCGTCGGGCGACCATAATCATAAAGAGAACGTTTATGGGCGGCGACGGAAGCGCCGATTTTTTTTATTGGCGGCTGAGAGGACAGAATGACGAGCGTCAGTTTAGTCAACAATCGCATGATCTGAGCGGTAGTTGCAAACTAAGAAAGTCCTAGTTGTTGCGGTCCTAGTTCACTATCGCCGCACAAGATTTTACTTTTGGAAGGAGAGCCGTTCCAACAGTTGCCGTTCGTCGACGGGTAGTACTCGAGCGGTCGGGATATCTAAAATGACCCGTGTCTAGTCCGCACATCCGTCCTGGGGGCGTTCGAGAGAGTTGCCCTCGAGGAGTCCAGACGACATAAAACAAACTTCGTGGATGCTTTCCGGTCGGTGCAGTTCGAAAAGGCCATCTCGAGAGTTCGTTCCTAGATCCGAGCAACTTTTGATGTGTATCGGGTGGAAACATCCCGTACGCGGTATAAATAACTTGATTTCTTGCAATTTCACCCTCCATATACAAGCTTTTGTTTGTCCGAGTCGTCGGTTTTTGGCCGTGTCGATAAAATCACAAATCAGAATCAATTTTCTACCGGAGTACCGGCTGGTACCCATCCGTTCGAAACAATCGACTGTCACATCCACAATTCACGGATTTACGATTCGATCGAGATATCTCTGTTGTAGCCGGCTCGCTGAAGTGGTTTCATTGTGCGGGGTTTTATCTCTGCTGGCACGTGGTGCGACCGACAGATTCCTCAAATATAACCCGGCAAATTGAATAAATTTTGATTGATTGACAGAATAAAGAATATGTGATATTCTTCTATACCTGTTTGTTCTTCTGTTCGCGGCGAACGCTGCGGGCTCAAGGACGTCGCTTCTGTCTCTTTTCGGAGGGATTATTATATTTTCGAGGACGGAATCAATTGGCGAATTTTACAATTTAAATGGCGAGTGGCGGGTAATCCGCGGTCTACCGCGAAACACCCCACCTTCGATGCTCTCATTGTTATGTAGATATGGACTAATTCAAATTCAGTATAAATATCACAATGGAGCTTAATCAGCATTTGATGTTTCCCGATCGAGAACTTTTCTTGAGGTAAGATCCCGAAGAGCAATTTGCATCGGGATGGAACGAACGACTTGACCTCGGAGTCTTGCTCAAAAATAAATAACCGACCGAATTAAACCTAGATGCAGTCTTTGAACAACTTTCGACGCTCTATTAAAGCGAGTCGTTGCTAAAACGGCATCAATGAGTTCCTATTTAACTTTGAGATCTCTGTAAAATAGTTAACGTTTCATCAAAAGTAATAGATGCAGAAACGTATAATCTGCAGCCGCCCTTCCCCCTTTTCAGCTTTCTCGATCTTTTCTGCGACCCCTGCGGCTACAATACCGTCGTTAGGTCAATCAAGACTTTGAATAGACTCCGGACTCTGTGGACCCTCCGGGAGGAGCCCGAGGGGGCGTGCCCCGCGGGATGATGCGTGGGCCACGTCAATATAACGTATCCATCCTTCCGTATCAAACATCAAGATAGCTAATGTGCGTTTATATATTGTGGCGTGGAAACATTTATCCTACTTTCAGCAGTTAATCGAACCGAATTCATCCATTACTGGTCCGCAATTAAGCGTATACACAACATCCATTCTACTTTCGACTCGGTTCGATATAGCCGACGGAAGGCATTCATTATGAAAACCGATATTTCCATCCGACTGTGAAAAAGCATAGCGATGCGTCACACCGGCCGGTTTTAACGTAAGCAACCTCTAGCCACTTTTAATTGCCGCCCAAGCGGCTCACGTGAATGCAGGCGCGAGTGGAAAATGGGCCGTTTATCCCACAGACGTGGGCAATTTGTACGTAAATACCCCGGCGGTTATGTCTTGGCGGGCAAAAAAATTGGAAACCAGCCATTCCGACGGTGCATTCTGAATTATTTAGCTCAAGTATACATGCACGCGAATGTACGGTTCATTTGAGTTTTCGAAGTGGCGAACTTTTATTAGTTCGACCGGACCGAGCGAGCCGCATGCGGTGTTGAGAGTTCTGTTCGGTATGTCGCGGCCCCGGGTTGGGCGCCACGACTGGACCGTGTTAAGTTAAAAATTGACGGTCTTTCACATAAGTTGTGTCGGTTAAAGGCCGATGAGTAGTAGGAAGTTGTTCGTGCCGAATTCAATTTGGCCAAAATGTAAATACCCACCCGCGGTCAGTACCGGCGCGCCACCAAATATTTGCATAACTCCCCGCATAAAAACGAGTTACCTTTGCCCAATAATTGGATACCACCTGAGTTTGCGTTCGGTCTGCGTTGAATCGTCAAGGGAGTCGTATTTAATCATCGTCGCAAGTGCAAACAGTAAATTTACCGGAAATTAGCATCCCCTTTCGGTACCGAACCCGCAGCACGTCTTTGATGACCTCTCCAAACAACGAGGACCGAAAGCGATATTTTTTTCCGGCCCGGGTTCGTCCGTTTCTTTGTCCGGAAAAGACGACGCGTGACGTGACGTTCGCCCTTAAAGTATTAATTTATAGTGGAAACCGACACGTCCCTCTTTGCCGGTTTAAATTCTTCAGGGAGCCGAACCGGGCCAAGTTTCTCGAATTGGCCATTACAAAGATAAAAGGTATCTAATAAAAGGAGGAAGTGTTGTCCGGAATGTTTGGTCGATGGTCTGTGAAGTAATACGGCCGGGTAGCTGTCAAGTTTCAATAACACACATCTTGCCTCTCCGCGTTTCGAAACTGGAGACTCTTGCGACACGAGGAGTAGCCATCGACGGTCCTCGAATTTCAGACACAATCTTTGTTATTTCAACGAGGAGCGACTTCTTTGACATCTTATATATGCGAGTCGGAGATTATGGCAATATCGCCGTCAATTCGTAACGTTTAATAGTAGTCAAAGGGCGCGAGGAGGTACTATCGATTTCACAAAGACGACATCTCGTTACGCGCTTCCTTTGATATAGTTTTAGTTTAACTTGGACGCTCTTGTAGCACTCGACGCGCAAAATAAACACAGTAATGGCATCTGCATGAACCGGGAGTAAATTACCCGACTGCGTGTCATGCCGTGATTAGAAAATATGACATAAATCTTGATTTCCTTATGTGCGGCATAACATTTTCGATAGGCGAGACACGCCCGAACGGAATGCACCTTGCCAGTTAGTAATTCGAAACGTTTTAGTAAATAGTGCAGGAAAATTGTAGCTCGCTCGGGTCGATAAGTTTCTTTAATGCCCCTCGAAACGCACGGCCGCTTTAATGAAATGCACCGTCGAAACGCCCCGCAACAACGCATTTTTCGATGAAAGATTAACCAGTCGAAGGGAAGATCTTACCTATGATGGAGCGACGCTGCGACGAATCTCCAGAGGCTCGGCCCAGTCGACGTAGATCAAATTTTTAGTGGCTGTAAATTAAACAAGGACATTTACTTCTTTAACCAAGTATCAGCGGAAGTGGTGGATGCTAAGGACTAAAAATCGTTATACTTGTACGTAATAAAGTGATCTAGCTGTTAGAATAGTAACCTCGCCAGTTGAACTACCATAAAGTAAAAGAAAAGAAAACGTATGAAGATATGGAGCCCGAGAAAACCGTAGGACATTACGTTAATCAGTTTTGTTTGGTGAAGTGGCACCTCAAGATTCCCGTCGAGTCCCCATTCTTTATAAGTAAAAACTGACGGAGATACGCCTTGTGTTTCACTCGTAATTTTCTTTAGCAATTGACGCGTTCGCTATAATCATACACTCGAGCTGTTTCTTAGGCGCATACATCTTACGGAAATGTCAACAATCCTATCCCATTTTCTGCTGAATTTAGGCAGACCTCCGTAAGCTGCTTCAAATGCTGCATTGCGGGCGTGGCCCAACACCGGGAGCAACGCATTTGATGGCATACATCACGATATTACAAAATTTATCGTCGGTTTTTAGTTACAGCATTAACTAAATGAAACTAATTTACGTAAATAATTAAGCCGGAACAGTTTAATTTTGTTGACAACATCGTTATAGCGAAAATGACACAACGCTAGATCAAAATCGCATTAAAACCGTGATCCGGTCAATATCCGGGTTCCTGTTTATTTTTCTCTGGCCGATCTTTTTTAATATTTTAATGCCTGCTGTGTAACACGATGAATCTCGAGGGGGTTCATCAAAATCCATTTTTAATTTGTTTCGTCATGTTTGGTGTGCCGTAAACAAATATTTGCGATGCGCTTAATAAAAAAAAATGGGTGCAACGGTAACGAAAGGAGCGAGATTCGTGTAGCTTTGAATATTAAAAGTTTAAGGGATAATTCGAACTGAACTAGATGCGTTTAACCTGTCAGAACTCGACGGTGAAAATTGTGTGGAGAACCTTGAAACTATTCCTCGCCAAGTCGCGCATCTTGCTATCTCTGCCTCTTCAGGTATGAAAATCCCAACACAGGACGTTAAAAATTCATAATCGTAGTCTGCCCCTGTAAAAGCAAACTTTGTAATATGTGGCTCATTACTTTTACGATATTACAAAGTAGTAAACGAGAAATTTCCCGTCCTGCATCGAATTTTCGCGAAAAGTAACTCTCGAGCCGATCTATGCGACTGCATGAACTCGAAACTTGCCTCCATTCAAAGTTAATTAAAAAACGAAATAAAATAAAGAAAAAAAATCGCCTCTTTGGAGTCCCTAATAATATCAACATCGCAAACGATAAATGTTAAGAGATCAAAGCTGGAACGCGAGAACAATGCCGATTTTCCGGGTGCCGGACGAAACAATAAAACCGTCACAGACACCGGACAAATATTGAATCTTT